AGAGGCCTGCATAGATTCTCTTAGGTCTGACTTAGTGATCCCTTAGTGATCTAGGACCAGACTACGTGAAGAGAGGCTATGGGTATAAAGTTCAGGGCAGTTGGAAATGACATGAATACTGCAGGACCTCTTAGAGCTAGCAAAAAAGGGCTGTCTCCAAGCCCTAATGTCTGCTTTATTCTGTATATAGTTAATCAAGTTTATTTAATCCATGTATGTTTAAAAGTTTTAGTGCTACTTAATGCCTATAATTACATATTGTGCTGATTGCTGTGTTTTCATTCTTTAGAGGTTAAGAATCCAAAAAAAATTCTAGTTTTTGGTTTATAAATGCCTTTTATTAGTTTCCCCAAAATTGCTTTGCTGCTTTCAATCCTGGCTTAATGCCGCCAACACTCAGGTTCAAAAGGATGCTATTTGAGCTCAGTTTTTAAAATTTCTGTATTGACAGGTTTACATTTTCTTTTTGATTGCTACATGGAAGAGGCCAAAGACTGAACTCCCTGCAGTGAATGGTTAAGTGGGGGAAGAGGTACCTTGTATCGTTGTCCTCCAAAAGCATGATTAGGGAAGAGGGGTATCTTTTTTTTTTTTTTTTTTTTACTGCTTAGTGGGAAGAAGGTTCAAAAAACAAGACTTCTCACCAGGAATTCCAAAGCTAAAAATATGTGGCTCTGGGGCAGATGAAGTTTCAACATTGGAGGTGGGGGGGTGTGTGTGAAAGGGAACAAGTGAGCCTGGAAGAAAACTCAATAATTTTCAATCTCAGAAGCCTACCTTACATGAATAATTTCTCCGAGAGTAAGGCTCTTTCCAGTCAGATCTGTTGGTGCTGCTGAGCTGGTATTTCAAGTATGTCCATCTGCATTTAAACGAATTGCTCCAAGACAATCTGATTATGCGGTAGTTACTTTGGTGAGAATAGCGCCTCAGTGGAATGGAAACTTCATTTGAGTCTAATATTAGACCTTGCTTTGGAAAATTCCTTTTAAATGATCACAAGCTGGGAATAGCAAAAGAATTTAACTTTCGACAGACAGCATTCACCAAGAATTTTTAACTGCTTATGTTTGGGTCCTTGGGAAAGCAGATGTGAGAAACTGACCGGACCAAATTGACTAGAGGAGAATGGACTTGACCTGATGAGGTGTTTATATCTATTGCTGATAAGTTTCCCTCCGAGTCTCATTTGCTCAAAATATTTTCATTCTTTGAGCATGAGCATGCTAAGGATGCAAATTGTTAGGAGGCCTAATTGTCTAACCATCTAAACTTCTAGGCCTCCAGACATCGTTGCGTGTAAAGGGGTCTGAGGCAGAGCGGAAAAGGGCGGACAAGCCTACAGAACCAAAGCCAGTGTCTGAGTAAGTGCTGGGAACTTGATCAGACCTGGCCTTCGGGATATTTTTAGTTTGTCTGGCTGATTGTGTCTGAGCAAACTCACCCAGTTTGAAGTTTTAAGTAAACTTTATTTAAAGGACACCCCCTCACTCCACCACCACCCCCCCCCGCAAAAAAAACCCCAAAACCTCACCCTGACATTTAAAAAAATAATATACGTGTTAACTGATCATGAAATTTCCAGATATCATGTCTCCTTGGCTTAACCTGAGGATAAGTTTCAGATGCCTTGTGTGCCTTGGGTTGGGAAAACCAATATTGGTGTTTGAGATAAATTTAATATTTTAAAAGATCTTTCTGAAATTGAAATGCATCTTTTAACCACAGTGTACATTTAGTGTAGTAGGGTTTTTTTTCTCTTACTAAGCTGGCAATAAGTTGATGGTGCCTTAGAATTGAGGAGGAATATTAATAAATTAATAGCAGCTACCATTTATTGATCACCCAGTGGATCCCAGGCACTGTCTTTGCTAGGTACCAACATTATCTCTGACACTCACGATAATCCTGTGTGGCAGCGACTGTCATGAATGAGACTGGGTTTAGAGGAGACTGAGGCTCGGAAAAGTTAGGTAGTTTGCTCATGATCACACTGCTGGTGATGGCTAAACTGGCAATGCTGGAGTTCACATCCAGGACTGGTCAGCTTCACAGCATGTGTTCTTCCTTGTAGGTTATATCTTTTTGATGTTTACTATATTTGAAATTAAACCTGAGAAATTTTCAACATTTACTTATTCGTTTTTAAGGGACAGTCATAAATCCATTACATGTTAACATAAACAACATCTTTATTAAAAATAACTTTTTTCCAAAACATAGTGTCATTGTTTACCTTTGTGTGTATCTCTTTATTATCTAGCTAAATGGAGGGCAGCTGGATTCTCTTCTGCATTCAGTCTGTGCTGTATACTGGTTGCTTTTTTTTTTTTTTGCGGTACGTGGGCCTCTCACCGTTGTGGCCTCTCCCGTTGCTGAGCACAGGCTCCGGACGCACAGGCTCAGCGGCCATGGCTCACGGGCCCAGCCGCTCCGCGGCACGTGGGATCTTCCCGGACCGGGGCACGAACCCGCGTCCCCTGCATCGGCAGGCGGACTCTCAACCACTGCGCCACCAGGGAAGCCCTGTATACTGTTTTAATTGAAGTATGTGAAGAAAATCTGGCCTCACACAAATATGTATTTGGAAAAGGAAGGGGTATTTTAATAGGCTTTTTGAATAATTGTGTATGTTCTTCCTTGATAATATACCAAAACTCCCCAAGTGATAGTTTCTTAAAGGTTAGTTGCAGTATAGAATCTGAAACTATGCCAGTGGACTTTTGGTGCACTGTTACATTAAAATCTTTTGGTCTGGAATCTTCCTTACAGAAGAATTCTGAATAATGTATGTAGCTACCCTCTGACTCCAGGAAGTAGAGCTTAATTCCTACCACTCACCCCTCCCTGGGGGTGGGCTAGACCTAGTGACTTGCTTCCAAAAAGTAGAATGAGGGAAAGGGAAAAATTAGTAACTTTGCAGTGGAGAAGAAACCTGGGAAACTCTACCTTAACCAAGTGGTGAAGGTGAACATCGCCTGTGATGTCATGTGGCTGCCATGTGAGCCCTGATGTGATGTGACTCGAAAACTCATAATCCCAGTCTAATCGTGAGAAAGACATATCCAGATAAGAGGTCATTCTGCAGAGGACCTGACCAGCGCTACTTGATTGTCAAGCTCATGAAAAACGAGGGGGGACTGGGAATCTGTCACAGAACAGAGGAACCTGGGAAGACATGACAGCTAAATGCAATATGGTACTCTGGATTGGATACTTGAACAGAAAGAGAACATTAATGGAAAAACTGGTGAAATCCAAATAGAATCTGGAATTTACTGAATATTACCGTATCAATGTCAGTTTCTAGTTTTGATGACTATATCATGGTAAAGTAAGATGTTATCAGTGGGGGAGAAATTGAGTAAAGGGTATATAGGGACTCTACTGTCTTTGCAACTTTTCTGTAAATCTAAAATTACTGCAAAATAAAAAGTTTTTAAAAATCCACTGTTATGTATTGCATTCTGAATAAATCATTTACCCATGCGTGATTTGGTAACACCATGGCCACGGTCATTTGGAAAATACTTGTTCACAGAGTTATGCAGATCTTTGAAATGTTGACACATTTTATTGTTCAGTGCTTTCAAAATCTCATTTGTTAATAGCACCACCTGTCTCATCAGAAAAGTCTTTACTGAGAAGCTCTCAAGCTCATGGCGGTGGATACAAGTTTCCCCAAATTCTAATTTTCCCTTGAAAGCTCAGATGTTATCTTTGGCAGCAAACACTGCTGTTGTTTTCCTTAATGTAACAGGCTCATCTTGTTCATTTTCAAGAAAATGTCTGCCAAATATCCAAGTCTAAATAATCATAGTTTGTTTGGTAGTCATTCTTTCAAATAAAAAAGATGTTCAGTGAAAAAAAGTGGCTGATCCAACTTGCAACTCAAACAATTTGCGTTGAGTCATTTTCCTTAAAACAATTTGAGTCCTTTTCCTCAGAACAACTATCGTACTTGAGAATGCAACAGAAGTGTGTTACCGTACTTTGCAATTTGTCACATACAATATTGAAAGACAGGTCCCGGGAATCAAGATTTAATGAAGCTTATAACTTTTACTGCTTCATCAAGGATATTCTTTCTGTTGTTGTTGTTCTGAAAAGGATTATTTTATTTTTAAATTTTTATTGAAATATAGTTGATTTACAATGTTGTGTTAGTTTAAGGTGTACAGCAAAGTGATTCAGTTACATATATATATATGTATATATATATATACACCCACATATATATATTTATATACTTTTAAAAATTCTCTTCCATTATAGGTTATTACAAGATATTGAGTATAGTTCCCTGTGCTATACAGTAGGTCCTTGTTGGCTATCTATTTTATATATGGTAGTGTGTATATTTTAATCCCAAACTCCTAATTTAAGGGATATTCTTAAGAGGAACTCATTTTTTCCCCTCTCTGTGTGTGTGTGTGTGTGTGTGTGTGTGTGTGTGTGTGTGTGTGTGTGGAGGAGAAGACAGTGACCACTAGCATAGTGACCACTACTACCGCTGCCTTGATTTGTGCTCAGGCACTTGACACCACTGGTGCAAATATCAACACAGTGGAAAATTCCAGGAACATTTTAGTGTTCTAAATGAAAATAGTTTGACCTTTCTGACTCTCCTAAAAGGGTCTTGGGCACCCCTAGGGGTCCACAGACCACACTTTGAGAACTCTCCTAAAGTAAACTAGCAGTTGCTAAAAGGTCACAAAGGAAGAGCTGACATAACCGAAGACCAAATCCATCCGGAAGCAAGTGGTAACGGTGGTACCACGTGTGTAGACGATGATGCTCTTCTGGATTAACTGGTCTTACTTTTTATGGCCCATGAAGCTTTTCCATTTGTTTGTGGTATTTCCAAACCATTTTTAAATGCTGAAAGATAGACTTTGATAATCTTGTATCTGTGTTCGCTGCTATTTTTACCATAATCATTTATAAGACTTCATTCAGGAAATTCTGAAAATTACCTCTTTGTTTTCTTTTCTTTAAAGGTAAATCTCACCTGGCTATTGTGCAGCGAGTAAACAATGAGGGAGAGGGGGATCCATTTTATGAAGTTCTGGGAATTGTCACATTAGAGGATGTGATTGAAGAAATCATCAAATCTGAGATTCTAGATGAAACAGATTTATACAGTGAGTACCATCACCTGAGTGTAATTTTCCAAAACCTTTGCTTTTATTTGTCATGTTGTTTGTGAGTCATCTGACATCTCTCCAGCTGTTGTCTGCCTGTTTCTAATTATGCACTGTGTGTGTAGGCTGGGTACCACCTACCAGTATATTCCAGTCGCTTCATCAGAGAGGAAGAGGTAGGTTCTGTAGTGTCAACTGGCCATGTGTGTTTTTGAAAAGCCAACTGCTTCTAACTATTGATCTGGGCATTGCTTGCCCTGAACAGAAAACTCCGTTCCTGGTTTTCACATTTATTTCACATCTGGAGGAAGACTTGTTCTTTACTAAATTTTCATTTTACACAATTAGGCAAATGGTTTTCAGATAAATTTCTGTCTCTCCCTATGGTCATAATTCAAATACTTTAAAAGTGAGGGGGGTTTGTTAAATTTATGGATAGCAACTGTTGAAGTGTCTCTATTCCAGGACCCACGGTCCAGGGTAGAGGTGAGGTTTGCAGGCATAGTTTTGCTGGGGCAGTGGTGGTGCAGCAGGGTATATAGAGAAAGCAGGACGGGTTAGGGTTCACAATAAAAAATGTGTTTTTCTTATTCTGTGCTTCTCTGCCTTACGAGAGGTGGTCTTGGATCGGGGCAGGGAAAGGCAAGTATCCACACCTGTTTGCCCAGGAGTCGGCTTGATTCTGGGCTGAGTGTCGAACATGAATCTCGTCTCATTAAAGTCCACAACTGTTGGACTGTGGAGCTTAAACCCTCTTCCTCAGCCTTATTCTTAGCAAAGTAAGACTCTTTCAAGAGTTTCTTAATGCCAAAGATGGTCCAAGGCCTGAGATATTAGGGGCCCTCAAAGGTGGTATTTGTCCTGTTTGGCTTTTAAAGCATGACTTGGAGGGGGAAATGGGCTGTTCAGATGGCCTGGAGCACCCAGGACAAAGCCAGCCTTGCTCAAAGCAGAATGATTTGTTTTCAGTCCTGTTAGAAGGGAATGTCCCTCATTTTAAAATTTAAAAAGTCTTCCACGCACCCTTAAAAAAATACATTTTATGTTTAGCTCTTGACCTCCTTCTGAAAATGTATCTTATTTTTTCCTCACATCTGTATAGTGTTCTTTACAAAAACACCAGTTCCCATGTGTTTTATCCTTTTGACTCTTGGAGAATAAGCAGAGATTTCATAATAGAGAATATTGTTAATATTGCATTTACGTTCTTTTCATCCTTCCTCATAGTGACTGTTTAATACCAAGTGTGTCTCTGCATATTTATGTGTTTCCCCAGGGGTAATCCTCATTGTAAGAAAGATAATCTAGACATTTATGAGCTTTTACATTTATACTTCAGTTCACTTCTTTTAAACCTTGATGAGACTGATTTCATACATGGCTTCCTGAGATGAGATGCTGAACTTGTGGTTCAGGTATATTCTTGATTCAGATCAGGGATGATGACTACCTTTGTCATTAGAAAATTATTTCGGATGCTTGCATTGATTTATGCTGCCTGATTCTAAAGAGAATTTGAGACAGGAAAATTATAGGTTGTGTTCACCGTCTCCCCAGGACAAACCTAGTTAGTAATCACTCTGTTTTGCCCTAGGCATGAAATGGTAATGTAAAGACTCATGATTCTTGGGGGGAAAAAAAGGAAGCAATTAGGATCTTGTCTCTAATCTAGTTTTTTCTTGATCATTACTTTGTCCAGAAAAATACTTGAAGAAAGGTTTTGCATGAGACACCTTCTAGATCAAGGATTGGCAAACTACAGCCCTCAAGAGCATGCCACCTGTTTTTATATGACCCAGAAGCTAAAATTTTTTTTTTTACATTTTTCAGTTGAAAGAAATCAGAATAATAATTTTATTTTGGGACATGCAAAAATCATAAGAAGTTAAAATTTCATATCCGTAATAAAGTTTTACTGTAACACAGCCCTGCTAATTCATTTACATATGGCTGCTTTTTGCTAAACAGCAGGGTTGAGTAGTTGCAACAGAGCATACATGGCCCGCGAGCCTGAAGTATTTGCTGTCTAGCCCTTTACAGAGGAAGTGTGCTGACCTCTATTCTGAATCACTTCCTTTGTATTTGGTTGACCTTGAGGATCTCGTGGTCTGGGGTAGAAATGCAGCTAACAGTTATTATTATTAAAATACTGTTCCATGAAAGTGTTCTTGTTTGTTTCTTGAGATTGTGTGTGTGTGTGTGTTCTCTTTCAGCAGAGGCTGGGAGCCCCTTAAAGGCAGGGACGTGCTTCCCTGTGTCTTCTGTAACATGATTGATCTTCACTGCGGTGTGGCGACAGGAGCGCGTAGCAGGAGCGTGTGTGCACTCCGGGCTACAGGCTCTGTTGCTACGTGGTTGTATAGGCTCCATGAGGGGAGGATTCTTGTCCCCAGCTGCCCAATAATGTACTTAAAAGGGCTCTGAAGATCCTCACGAAGTGTGTCGATAGTTGCTCCTCATCAGGTTGCCTGTGATTTCTTACTCTGGATTGTGTCACAGTCATGACTGTGCTGCACTTATTTAATGAGGATTCTCTCTCCCTTTCCATGTGGTGCTTGTATGTAGCGTGCCCACCATCTGGAGGGAGAGCTTAGCCTTTTCCATATATTATGTCATTTTCATTCGAAAAGAGCCCCAATCTAATGGAATGCATTTCCATTTCTCCCTCAGCTGATAACAGAACGAAAAAGAAAGTGGCCCATCGAGAAAGAAAGCAAGATTTTTCTGCCTTTAAGCAGACAGACAGCGAGATGAAGGTTAAAATATCACCACAGCTTCTCCTGGCCATGCACCGTTTCCTAGCAACAGGCAAGTGCAGCTTATCACAGTTTGAAATCTCTGCCAACCCTGGAGCGAGTTTCTCACCCACCGCTGACTGGGGTGGGCTGGGGGTGGAGACTGGGAAATGGGGTAATAAGTAATGCCACTTTTGTGTTTTGTTTTTTGTTTTTTTGTTTTGTTTGTTTTGTTTTGTTTTTTTCTTTTTAAATTCTCTCCTCTCCTATGTTCAGTGTCGGCATGAACCCTCTGAGACATTTACCAGGGGTGGACCAGTAACTTAAAATTGGTCTGAAAGGTAAGGATGAATGTTAGTGCCACACTGCATGTGAACAGTAGGCCAGGCCATCCGCTTCAGCTAAGTCCAGGGGAGAGCCAGCTGGCGGAGCAGGCGGACAGTGCAAACCAGACACTACCTCGTTGTGTGTCGGACAGTTGAGTAGTTCTCTCTTCAGCTTGCCTCAGAAGAACAGTTGGACGTCGGTGGTGACACAGGTGCTATGAATTGCAAAGAAGAACAATAAATTTTCAAAATAAAATCTTTACCCTTTATGGTTTTAATGAAATCAGAAATTCTAAGAACTCTGACATGGATTTCTTGATGGCCTCTTCAAATCAGATTGTTAACTTGGGCCCATTCCAGGAGGCAAGTGTTCACATTATTAAAACCACCAACCCAGCCAGCACTGACTGCTCCAGAGAGGTCAAGGTCGAACGGACTTGAGAGACCGACTGACCCTGCTCACATCCCCAGATGGCTCTCTAGGCGAAGGGTGAGCTCTGTTGGCTAGGGGAAGTGTGAGAAAACCAGAGTACCCAGTGGCCTGCAGAAGACGTCTGTGTCCAAGATGGGCAGCCAGTGCCTTTCAGCTGAATGCAGTACACTTAAGATATTTTGAAAAGGATGCTAACGGCAGCCATGTGATGGAATGTTATGTACTCTTTAAGATCATGTTTTCAGATACCTGGACATGCTCACCATATAATATTTATGACATGGGAAAATACTCATAATTTAATGTAAGGTGAGAAGAAACAGTATAAAACCGTGTGTACACAAGATTATCCTTGTGTTTTTGTGTGTACACACACACGTACACGGCACACATGCCTAGGTGAGGTATTAGAAAGAAATGCTCACCAATTGCTCAGAATGGTTACGAGTGGTTGGTTTATAGGTGATTTTATTTTCTTCTTTATTTTTTTCTGTGTTTTCCAAAATTTCCACAATGTACTGTCTAATTTTGTTATTACAAAAAAGTCACAGAAGCTAATGCAGAATTGATATCGCACATATAACATAATTTAAAAAATTTTAAAACATAAACAATGTCTTTAACTTGCTTATTATTTTCTATTTCTGATAATATTGTTCATCATTTAAGAAACACAATTTAAAACTAAGTGTTATCCTACTCTGCCTCTGAGATACCATAAAGTCCACTTTCAGTATGGCACCCTTAAGTCAGTAATTTTGGGTTTTGTTATTTTAATAAAATCAATATCTTTGTAAACTCAGATCAACATTACTTTTTATTTTTAATTAGCAAGTTGGAGTGCATGTTGATGTGTGCACGTGCCTTGCTTTTATTCTGAATCTCTACCTTCCTTTGTTCCCAGACTTTCTCAGGGTAGTTGAATGGGAGAATGAGATGTGGAGCACTGCGTCTGTGCACCTGGTACTAACCCACACCTAGATGCTTCCTGACCTTTGCTTCTTCCTTTGGCTGTTGTTGGACAGTCAGTCTTTTGTGGCCTGTTGCAGGGCGTCCTGGCAGTCATGGAGCCTGCTTCTGGTTGATCTTCCTTTGTGTCAGTCAGAAAATGAGGGTATTTTTTTATGAGAACTGAAACCAATGACAGGTTGAAAATGAAAAGTTTTAAAGCAACAAACATGAGAATTCAGCATTTTCTAATTTCTCCCAGGTAATCTGCCCCCAGCGGATCACCAAACGGAAGTCTCGTTAAGCCATACCGTTATCGCTTCAACTCCAAGTATTCTTTTCTCCGAACACCTTAATCACTAGTATCATTTTTTTTTCCATCCATTTGAAGTGTAATATCAAGTTGTGTTTATATCTATAGAAGTAGAAGCATTTAGCCCATCCCAGATGTCAGAGAAGATCCTTCTAAGGCTGCTAAAGCACCCCAATGTCATCCAGGAGCTGAAATATGATGAGAAGAACAAGAAAGCCCCAGAATGTTACCTCTACCAGCGAAACAAACCTGTAGACTACTTCGTCCTCATCTTGCAGGTCAGAAGAGTTAATCAATAGCTGTTTGGTCTTAGTGAGTATTTGGTCTTATTGAGTACCCACCCTTCCAGTTGGGAGGAGACTTGGTATAGGCGAATGGGCGTCAAGGATATAACACACTTAATAACTTCTGGGGTGGGCCTACAGTGGGAGAATTTCATCTCCCTGGTTTCGTATCTGCAAAACAATTTCAATAGAAAGCGATGTTGTTAGTTTAATTTCCAGTACAGACGGGCACTTAGTGGTTGCTGAGGCATTGAGGCATTCATTTGAAGAAGGGGTGAATTCAGGTGTTTGTATTTTTTTTTTTTTTGAAGAGTTTTGGGGACTTACCTGTGCATGGCTAAATCTTGGCTGGGCATTTGAAATTTAAGTGTTGTGAGTTCCTTGAGTCTTCTTTTTATCATCTTTTATCTCTTCCGCCCCTCGTTAGGACTTGGTCTTGCACAACTTCCTAGAGATGCCTTACGATCTCTTCCCTTAACGCTGTCAAAATAATCCATTTATCACTGTTTTTATTTCTGATTACTACCAGCTTCTGTTTTAAGGAGGAACTGATGGGATAAACACAGCCTCTCATGGCAATGGTAACTTACCTCCTTCTCACTGTAACATAATCCACTATATAAGGTGAGAAGGTCCATCCATTCTGAACCCTCCTGAGGGCCCTAGAGGGGCTTTTGCGCTTGGATTGACAGGAGGCCCTTATTATCTCACAGTTTCACTTGGTAGGGCGCAGTTCTTGGCCTGGAGACCAAGATGAATAGTACAATGAATAGCATGCTAGTTTTATTGATTTCTTGTGTCTCTTTATTGAAGAATTACTTTTATAGGAATTCTGAGTGTATTTCAATATAAGAATACTAGCCCCTTAAGCATTCTCCTGTTTCTTGGTTACTTCCTAGGTAAGAATTGGAGGCATCTTTATAAGAGTATAATTAGCACTTGGTAGACCCATCTACAATTTACGTTGAGTCCAGCAAGTCCCAATTATCTAAAAGAATCAAGATGTTTCTTTTTATCTGAAAATAACTCTTATCAGATGTCTAGAGGTTAGAAACTCTGGGAAGTGTTGTGTTCACGCCCCGTGTTTGGACTGTATAGTGAATTCTGGAAGCAGAAGTGAGGAACTGTAGAAAAGTCTATGGATTAACCAGGTATATGCTGCTTTCATATAGTGTTTCTTGGAAACTTCTGTTTGCAGGTTTTCTAAGTCAGTACCCTGATTATTCTACTAACCTTAGTCTCATTCAATCCTGAATTGTTTTTCTTTTTCTCTGGGGATACACAAGCTTGAAACTCTGAGGGGGTTGGGAATTTATTTGATTTACTACAGTGAAGGAGTAAGGCATCCATGTTTCTCATAAAATCTAGATGTGAATACTGCTTAAACCTAGAGAAACTGAATGACATTAAAGACAGTTTATTTAGAACTTTGAGGATTGACATTGTGAATTTCAGTAATATTAGAAACTCTGTGGCTTTCAATCATCGATTTTTATATAGTTAGCGTTTATGAATTCTGATTCAGTAATGCTCTATTGGTATGTAAAAAAGCCATTTCCTGGCTGATGGTTATAGATTTTATGGAAGAGGGACTTCATAATTCTGGTCCCTTTATAAGTAAATCTTTAAAGATATCTTTGATAAGGTTTTTATGTCCATGTACCTATATTTGAATACCTATGTCATGTTAAATATTTTTACAAATGTGACAAGTTCTTGGAACTGACGATGTCATGGGAGTTTTTTTTAATTTTTATTTTATTTATTTATTTTTGGCTGGGTTGGGTCTTAGTTACTGCGTGCGGGCTTTCTCTCGTTGCAGTGAGCGGGGGCTACTCTTCGTTGTGGTGTGTGAGCTTCTCATTGCGGTGGCTTCTCTTGTTGCGGAGCATGGGCTCTAGGCGCGTGGGCTTCAGTAGTTGTGGCTCGTGGGCTCAGTAGTCGTGGCTCACGGGCTCTAGAGCGCAGGCTCAGTAGTTGTGGCGCACGGGCTTAGTTGCTCCACGGCATGTGGGGTCTTCCTGGACCAGGGCTCGAACCCGTGTCCCTTGCATTGGCAGGCGGATTCTTAACCACTGCGCCACCAGGGAAGCCCCATTGTGGGAGTTTCATAAAGATTTCAAGGATTTATGGAGGTATTCAAACTGTAGAGTTTGGTGAAAATCATGTTCTTGAAGGCCAGGCAGTTACCTGAGGTACCCAGAGTATGACAAAATGAAATATTATAATACCCTGTCAGTCTAGCATAGCCATTACCATTTACAGAGTATATTCCACCCTAAAATATCACTAATCCATCATTGGAAATTCATTCCAGGTTATTAAGCATGTTCTACTGCATTTCAAGAACATTAAACCAGAGGAAAGCAGCTGTAGCTGCCTTCCCTTCCTGGCCCCAGTGCCAGCGAGCTGCCGTCTTCAGACACTAGAAAAACTCTTTTATTAAGTAATTGATGTTTGGAATACAATTATAACTAGAAACAATCACTTTGAGTTTAAACCCTAGATGAAATAAAGTCTAATTTATTCGAAGCAAACCATTTAAGTAAGCTTACTTAAAAGAATATCCTATAGGTTATGGGACACATACTACGTATGAATAAAAAGGCACTTTCAAGTTTTATCTGAGAAAGTCGATTTTTAAACTAAAATGTATTGTGATAAAAGCACGATAAATAGTGAAAGAAAACTTTATTGGCTCTACATGCCTTAAATAACTTAACAGAATACACATATAAAAGTAGGAGTGGGTAGGAACATAATCTTGGTGGAAAATTTTTTCCACCATCATAAAAGAGCAAGAAAAAAATGTTAGAGTTTTAAATTGTGTAAATAAAATTAACCAAGTTGAAGAAAATTAAATATAAAGCCAGGGAAATACACTTAAAAAAAAGTTTTATGTGACTTCTTCCTAAAAATTGGTCATTTGCGCTGTCGCAGGTAAATTCTAATAAATTCAGAAAGATAGAAATTTCATAAAACTACCTGCATAGATCATAATGAAATAAAATTAGACATAAAAATGCATAATCGAAAAGTACTAAGCTATTTTAAAACTAATCAATTCTCTTACAAAGGTTTATACATAAGGTATAGAATAAAAGACTATTAAATAATATAAATACCGTATCCACAGTTTGTCAAAGTTTAAAATTTTATTCCTCTAAGTACTTACATAAGAAAAAAAAATCTCTGATTTTCTATAATAGAAGAAGAGCAAAGCAACAAACTAAAAAGAACAAATTAAATAATAGAGTGTCATGAAAATAACTTTTAAAATGAAAAAGTTTTACATCCCATAAATAAAATCAAGATTGGTTCTTCTAAAAGATTAACAAAATCTTTATTCTATTGGCATAATTAATGTGATAAGAGAAAAAAGAAAACTGGAAGTTCTCCCTTCCCCCCGAAAAAGCAGCTAGAATCAAAGGAATTGCTTGGGGAAAAAAAAAAAAATTGAGACTCTAAGGAACTCGATTTCTGTATTGTACAAATAGAACAAGATGATTTGATAGTTAAATGCATTCTTTACGACAATATGGCCTAATCTAAAGTCTGATAATGTTCTGGGTCAGTCTCACTTGTCCACATTGATGGAGAATTCCTAAATAAAAAGGTAGCAGTTAGAGACCAGTAACGGACCCAAAGAGCTATTCACTGTGACTGTGACTGAATTAGGATTATTTTAGGTATTCAGGGCTAGTTTAATAGAAGGACAACAAAACTAAAATATGCCATGTTAATTAGGAAAGCAGTAAAGGAAAAAATCCCTATGCTTAAATCAATAGATAGCAGGACAAAATTAAGCATCCATTCTTGATTTCTAAAACAAACCAAAAACAAAAAATCATTGTAAAAATCCATGATGAACAGTGAACAAAAAAGAAAAAAATGCTGTAAACCAATCACATGCTTAAACTGGCAGCTTCCTTTTGGGAATAAATATATAAAACCCCTCATATACATGCATTTCAAGAAATCATTTTTTATAAAGCTTTCTATGCAAATTTATAGCAAATCTATCAGTTATAATTAAAGTAGTAGAAATAGCCCATATGTCTAAGCTAATCAAATTTCAGTGTGGATAATATGAGAGATCATTATATGGTCATAAAAGAAGTAGAAAGCAGGTACAAAAATATGTCAAAAAGGATAGTGTGCCTGTAATTATAACTATTATAAACCATTTTTCTAATATAGTTGATATTTTACAGTGAAATATTTGTTGGTCCTTTGGGGAATAAAATGTCTAAGCAGATAAAAAAATATCATTGTTCTTACACAACACATACTTAGGTTATGATTTTAGTAAATATAAAGAATAATAGGAAAACAAGAGGAATAGCTTTTTCCTTTGCCAATTATGTAATCAATGGAAAGGGATGCTTTTTTTTTCCTGGGGTAAATTTTTGTTGATTTCATACCCCAGATGTTTTGTTGTTCAATTGCCCCATCCACTCTTTTCCTTTAGGGCTTCTGACATAGATTCGAAAGGGTTTTTCCCTATGGAGTAGAAATCTGTTCTTTTGTGGAGGTGGCAGGTAGCATCTTAGAACTAAACAGCCTTTGACAATATTTAATATCATTTCACTGGTTATTGGGAGAGAATTGAAGCCTTCGATACCAAACCTTCTCAAGGAGTTTTGAGTTGCAGGGTCTCCGTGTCCCAGTGAATAATGTTTCCTCACTCTTGAGTTGTGTACAGATAACACAGCCATGTTACAGAAAAAAAGTATTTAGATACCTAGTGTTGACTCTATTTTTTTTTTTTTTTTTTTTTGCGGTACGCGGGCCTCTCACCGCTGTGGCCTCTCCCCCTGCGAAGCACAGGCTCCAGACGCCATGGCTCACGGGCCCAGCCACTCCGTGGCATGTGGGATCCTCCCGGACCGGGGCAAGAACCCGTGTCCCCTGCATTGGCAGGCGGACTCTCAACCACTGCGCCACCAGGGAAGCCCTTGACTCTATTTTTTAAAAATTAAATGCGTATAAATATAAAACTAGCATGAGCTCCTTTTGAACCCTTTGAGCTGAGAACTCTTACATAGAACAATAAAGAAAACAAGTTTGTAATTAGTATTTTAAATGTGTAAATGACACTGTTTGGTTGATGGGAAAGTGCCACTGGCCCCAGGACGGTAGCAGGGAGCTCTGGCGCTGGCTCTTGCATTCAGCACACTTAGGTCCCTGTGTGCCTGGCAAGGATGGCACCCTCCAGCCCTGTGCTCAGTTTGAGCTACTCTGTACGTTTGTACAGTATGTTGTGTTGTTATTTGGCCTCCACTGGGTGTGACCGGATTATTTGTATGTTTAGTCCTCCCCTGTTCCTTTCTCTTTGGCTCAGTGCTTCTCACACTTCAATGTGCTTGGGAATCCCTTGGGGATTCAGTACGTCTAGGGTAGAGTCTGAAATGCTTCATTTCTCACAAGCTCCCAGTTGGTTGAGTAGCAAGCCTTAGCCACGATGATTCACGTAGTAAGAACAACTTAACATATTTGAGCACTAAGGCAAATGCTGCCACTGACATCTGGTGGCAGCACTTGGTTAGAAGGTGGTCAACCAGATAGCCTGAAATATATGTAAATTAATTTTTGACCGTCAAAAAAATTTTTTTTTTAATTTAAGTGTTTATGAAGCAAACTTGCTGAGTCCTAGGACTACGTCTGTGGACTGCAGATTGAAAAATGTTGCTAGAGGATGTCTGGGTGGTGCGTCCCCTCTTACTGGGCAGTGCTGGTGAACACAACCTAGCTTTTGCCCCTGGCAACTGGTGAACACAACCTAGCTTTTGCCCCTGGCATTTCATTACCTCCTTTTAGGTGTCAAACCCTATTTTGTGATGGTGACTTAAAAAACAAAAACAAAATAAAAAAGAACTCAATTCCAGAGTGAGCAGGAGACCAAGTAGATGCTCAGCATGTGGGATCTGAGGGTCTTCAGCCTTGAGTCCACAGCTTCCACTGAGCGCTTGATCTCGTTTGTGCCTACGAGGATAGCTTAGGCTTCTGCCTTGAGGCCAGGTACAGCACGTGACTGCTGGGTACTTTGTGGATGCTTAGAAACTTTGAAAAGAGTTGTCTAATACCTTTTTCCAAAGGAAGGTAGGATTCTGTAGTAGTAACTTTACTCGGGGAGCCAGCTTTGCCTGGGACAGTGCGCCCATCTTCCAGTTTTGTCAGTTTACCAGCATGAAGCCCTAGCTTCCTTTGGGAGTCTGTCCTGTCTCGATTTTTTTTTTTTTTTTTGCGATATACTAGACTAGAGAAAATTCGTGAATGTTTTAAAAGTAAAATTGATGCGGAGCTCCTTCTCTATATGGAAGAAGTTTATTTTCTGAGAAGACACGTGATTGAACTTGGGCCAGGCAAGCCGTTTACTCATGGGGCAGCCCTGCTTTGTGTACTGGTAGGTTTACTCGAAAACGGTCACTTCTTTGAGACACTGACACACATAGATGAGTAAAAAAAAATGTGTTCACTGGATGTTTCTAAAACTTGCCTACCAGGAAAGCTTCAGTCTTCTAGAGAAGGAGATAGGGCTGGGCAGTTTTTTAAACTTTTGGAATTGTAGAATCACAGGATGTTAGAACTGAAAGAACCACAGGTCTCCTCTCCTTTACTGCAGTTTTATAGCTGAAGCAAAATTAGTCTAGTGCAGTGGTTCCTAAATGCTGATACTTGGCAAAGTTTTCGCCAGTTTGAGGCAAAATGAGAAAAATAAAAACAGTTGCAGTGAGTTCTTCATAAAGCTATGTGTATTCAGCTTAAAGACCTGTTATTCTGAACTTACATATTTTCTGTATTTTGGGGGTTAAAATGTCTGGGCTTTTGTGGAATGATGGTCGCAGTAGATAGCTGTGTTTTAAAAATATCTTTATTTTATGAAATAAAAATGTGGCAACCCTCTCTCTGTTTCTGAAAAGGAAGATGGATTTTCCTAGTTCTTGGAATCCAAGCAGCTGGGAACCGCTGGCCTAGTACGCCTGCCTGTAATCTGATGGATCTAGACTAGGTAGACTCCAGAAGAAAGATAGCGGATCGTCTCCACCACCTGCCGGCCTGTCTTGGGGGGCAGGGAGAGATCAGCTGAGGGGCTGCAAATCTTCGAGCAGCTGTCCTAATTTAATTTGCAGACTCACAGCTTCTGGGAGAGTCTCTTGAGAGGCCAGGGTGCACAGAGGTTCCAGAGCTGGCACCCATTTGCAGGGACACGGAACACAGAAGGCCCTGTAGCTTGTTTAAAAAAAAAAAAAAAAAAAAAAAAAAAAGGTCTCTTGAGAGGCCAGGGTGCACAGAGGTTCCAGAGCTGGCACCCATTTGCAGGGACACGGAACACAGAAGGCCCTGTAGCTTGTTTAAAAAAAAAAAAAAAAAAAAAATTAAAGGATTCAGATCAACAGGAGATCCACAGAAACGGAAGTCGATATGAGGCTCTACAGCATTTGATCCTTCCTCCTGATTTTCTGCATAGAAATGCAGGTTACATGATGGTCCTACAGACACTTTCGAGCTTACAGTCACTGAGGCAGACATTTTCAGTTAGCGTATATGTACATCCTAGCGCTCTGATACAAAATCAGGGATTAGTCCATGAAGAAATGGATAAGTAACTGAAGGTATACACAGCGGGCACCTCCATTTCTGCTGCTCATCGTCTCTGAATATTGTGTCCCTGCCTGCCTCTCTTAGGGACCCTGCATCCCATTCTTTCCCACCAGCTTTTGGCTTTTGCTCCCTGAGTTCCCACCTTCTCTCTCTCCATTAACTTTCCACCCTTTCTGCCCCAATTTGCCTAATCCTAAACAGGCCTCATTTGACCCCAAGGCTGCTGCCAGCTCCCCTGCGGCCCTGCTGCCTATGCTTTGTCCCTCTTGCCCTCCCTTCCCTTCCACAGTCTGATTTCTTCAAGAAAAGACTCCCTGAGGCCACAGTGGCTCCCTCCTCGGTGACCCTCTGACCATCCCTTTACTCTGAGGTTCTTCCCTCTCCCGGCTTCTGTGGTGAAAACAGTTGTCCGGTTCTACTCGTATCCGTTTTCCCTTTGGTCCCATATTTGTTTCTTTTTCTCCTCCTACTCTCAGTCAAGGGCTGTAATTCCTCATTTTCTCTTCTCTCTGACCCCCATCTCCAGTTCTGACCTTTTCCCTGACCTTCGTCCTTCCATTTCAGCCTTTTTGATGGACTCTTCAAAAGGCCTTGTTTTCTTAAAGGGAATTCGTCCCCTCTTCCCGGCCCCCATCACTGATGCATCCCGTTCCCAACATGTCCGTCTCCACTCATGGGGTCCCCGTTCTTCAAGTCGCTCAGAGCAAACTTCTCTTGTGATTATTGATGCCCCCTCTCTCTCCTTGCGCTTCTTTCTCCCTTATGGTTTCACCAAATTATGTTGATTCCTTATCCGTAGCTCCTCTCACAGTGACCTTTTCCCAATCCTGTGGTTACCGCTCTCGTGTACGTCTAGACTTGATCTTCCTGAAACCGTATTCCTCTGCTCAAGAACCTGACCTCATTAGCGCATCCTTCAAGGGGCTCCACAGTCTGACCTGCTCACCAAACTGCTTTTCCAAACCCATCTCCCCTTCTTTCCTGGCAAACCCACTGAGCCTGGAAGTCTGCTGTCACCCACCTCTGACCTTCCTCAACACTGTTCCCTTCCCTTGATTCAAATCCTACTCCTCAGATTTTCCGTCCTGTATAAAATTTATCTCTATACAAGAACAGGAAGAATTTTTGTTTACTGCCTTGCATCGTTGAGTTTCATGTGCTCTCCCCTCTTCTGGACTGTATGCTCTCCCCTTTTCTGCATTGTATGCTCTTGGAGGAGCAAGGGCTGTCTCCTCACAAGGCTGCACAGCCTCTCCTGAGGACCCTGCACGATCAGGGTTTTTAGTGCCTGTTGGTTTGCAGGTTGATTTTATATTATAGCAAGAGAATTGGTTGGAGATTGATAAAACTAATATTTTCCATTGAGTGAAGGAAAACCCAAAAGAGAGACAACAGATCGTTTTCTGAAGAAGGGTTTTGAGAAAGGGCTTCCATAACTGGGAATTTGGTATAGAATAATAGGGAGTGATCACAATGGTGGAGTTTGCATTCGTAGGTGGCACAGCGTAGCCACCTGGTGAAGACTTTGTTCTTTGGTTACTTCATCTTTCTGAGCCCTGCTCTCCTGATTTATAAGAGGGTGGTAATTGTGTCTGCTTCCTAGAGTTGTGAGCATTAAAATGGATTCATAAGCACTGTGAATTGTCAGCAGTTTCTCTTCAATAAATGGTAGCTTAATTTTTGTTTACCCATTGTAAAGGGTGCACCATAAACGCTGAGCACCTTCTCAGCATTTGTCCCATGGGTGGAACAAGAGCCCCATCTTTCATTTACTGGGAGGGCTCTCAACCCACGGACTGGGATGCTGGGAAATATTGAGTGGACTCGTGGAAATTAAACATCACACTACTTTCACCTCTGCATCTCCAGCTAAATCCAGTTTTTCATATTTAAGATGAATTAACCCTCTCCTTCATCTAAGTGGGAAAGATTATCTGAGGCTTTTTTTTTTTTTTTTTTTACTTCCTTGGGATTGTTGGGAAAGGAGTTTAGACAAAAATCTGAGGAAGGACTAAATCTTGCATGGAGTTTGCAAAGAAATTCATGTAATTGGACTGAACATGCGCCCTTTTTTCTTTTCACAGGGGAAAGTGGAAGTAGAAGCTGGGAAAGAAGGTATGAAGTTTGAAGCCAGTGCTTTTTCATACTATGGTGTAATGGCCCTTACAGCATCCCCAGGTGAGTTTCCTTCTCAGCCTCAGGGCAGGGCTAGGTTTTAGGAATTAATGCCCTTGTATTGTCATCTTTCTGTACCTGCCGGCTAACCCTATTTATTTACTTTTTGAACTTTTTATTGAAGTGTATCATGTATACAAAAAATACTGCTCACGTCATACATATATACCTCCATGAATTTTCACAAACTGAACTCTCTTGTGTAAACCAGCTCCCAGATCAAGAGACAGAACATCACCAACCCCAGAGAACCCTCCCCCGACTCTCCCCTTTAGCCACTATCTCCCCAAAGTAACCACTGTCTTGACTTGTAAGCATTGACTAGTTTTGCCTCTTTTTGAACTTCAGGTAAATGGAATTATACAGGACATATTGCATTGAGTCTGGCGGCTTTTACCCAGTGTTGTCCTGGTCACACTCATCTGTACTGCTGTGTGAGCTTATACTCTGTTTCTTCTCATTGCTGTACAGTGTTCCATGGTATGAATATACAGCAATGCATTTATTCTTTTCACTGCAGATGGACACTGGGGTAGTTTCCTGTTTGGGGGCTACTCCGAATTGTGTGTCTGTGACACTGTCCGCGTCCTTTGGTGAAGACATTTCTGTTGGGTGTATGTGTAGGAGTGGAATGGCGGGGTCGGCGTTAATAGCTGCAGCCCCACAGTTTCCCAGGGTGGCTGAGGCAGTCACACTCCTGCCCGTGCTGACCGGGGTTCCAGTGGCTCCATATCCATCACTTGATAACTGTTGACTCTTTTAGATGTTAACTATTCTGGACGTTTTTTAATTTGCATTTTTCTGAGGTTTAAATATATATCCATTGCCTATAGCCGGCTCTTCTCAACTAGAGAGCTGGCCAGTTAAGTCAGCCAACTAAGGGTGGGTGTGCCACAGGGTATCGACCTAGTGCTCTGAGCACAAGATGCCAGAAAGCGGTGTCTGTTCTAGTAGGAACATGGATGCGGATCCTTGGCTCACCTCTGGGATGGGACTTGAATGGTTCCTCTTTGCACCACTTGCTTTACTACCTTATCCCCGCTGGAACAGGGCAGGCAGGTAAACGGGCTGCAGTACCACCTTGTGGCCAAAATACCAAATGACGTGCTGTGCTAGGAAATAACCTTTTATAAACCTCAAACTTTAAAAGAGCCGGTCCTAAAAGAATGCTGGCACTTCTGAAAACCAGTCTCAAAAAGGGGAGGGGGCACCTGCAGACAAGTCTGTGTTGTGACGTTGGTCCTCATCTACTGCTCCACACAATGTCTCAGGCGCCCAGAGATGTTACAGTTAGAAAGCCAGGGAAATGTCAAGAATTCTCTGACATTTCTAAACCTCCCCTGTCCCCGATGCATCTGCTCACTATCCTGGTGCAGGTTTTTGAGTCACATGGGCCAGTGTCCCCATTGTCTAGCACCCAGTGTGAACAAAAGCCTGTCTAACCCCACTTAATTAGTAGGTGTCTGCTGTCAACTTCAAGGTGATCTTCTGTTTTCACTGCTACTGAGAGGACGGGGAGATTCTTAACTAGGCCAAGAAGACCTCGGAGACAGCCTGAGTTCCACTTACGGATTATCTGACTGAGAAAGGCCCTTGGCTTCCTCGTTATTAAAAGGGTATAAGATTACCTTCTGTGGCTGTTAGAAGAATAGAATGTGATGATACTCACATGAGTACTTTGTCACCTTTAAAGCACGAGGAAATGTTTGTATAACACAAGTAAGTGTTGAGATGGTGACTATTGCTTGGCAACCACCCTCCAATTTGCCCCAGGTTGGCAGAATCAGGTATGTAAGGTGGCTTTGAAAGGACAGCTAGAGGAGTAACTTGTACATTTTTATGCATCACTAGTTCTTGAACCCTAAATATTGGCCCAGTTCATGTTAAACCATGGATTTATGTCGGATAAATCACATTCAGGAAAGGAATTGAAGAGCAGGCCTTCCATATAGGAAGTGTGTGGGGCTGCAGTTTCCTACCTAATGTGGTAGGAAATGCGCGGAAGGGAGAGAATTTCATTAACGGCATCTTATTTACTTCAAAGCCCTGCGTTTTACTTGACTTTACATTGAGGATTCGGGATTTTGTATATTCCTTGAGATGCAATAATAAGTACAGTAATCCCAAGATAATGTTTCTATTTATTAATGTTGATTGCCTAGAAAGACCCTACAGTAATCAGTTATCAAGACCAGCCCAGTTATTTGTCAATTATACCTCAATTTAAAAAAAAAAAAAAAAAACCTGCCCAGAAAATATGACCCCTGCCTGGTAGGGCATGTTGATTGACTTTGGTCTGTCATCCCCAAGAAATCTGTGTATGATATTCTTTATTTACCTTCCTCTAAAACTTTGAATTGCTGTGGAATACTGTGAAATTTCAAGGCATCTGGTCAAAGTTACAATCAGACCAATTAAGAATATAAATGAATTGAATAATTTTTTGCCACAGATAGGGACGCTGTAGGCTGTGCTGTGAACAGGTATCGAGGTGCTGGCACAGGCAGCTTGGGTCATGCTCTTGGGGCAGTTGATGAATCAAGCTCCCCTTTTGTGTGGCTAGCTGTGATTGAAGTCCTTGAGAGCACGTTTTGAGCTATAAACTGCAATGGGGTATTACTGGCTTAAGAGATTTCTAGGTTAGAAAAGAAGCATGTGAGTAGGATTTCTCCCCATTTCAGCTTCCCTATGTTCCTCTTCCTGGAAAGCAGTGTGTGTTCAGTTGATTTATATAATATCATATAGGCTTCTGCACTTCCGGAACTGAACGCTCCTATGGGTAGAACAGGTATCCACTCCTGTCCCCTGATTACAGAGAGCTCCTTTCTTGCCTTTTGATATGGTCTCACCCTGTTTTTCTCCATTTTTCAGTTCCTTTGTCCCTGTCTCGTACCTTTGTTGTCAGCAGAACAGAGTTGTTAGCAGCAGGTTCTCCAGGTAATTCTGCATGTTTCCTTTTCATAATTCTGATTGCCTCCGTTGACCCCACCAAAGCCCAGCTGGCCGGGTCTGCTCCCTTTATTTGGTCAAGGCCATTTTCAGTTCTTCTTTGAGCTCTAAAACTCCATGATTCTGTGACTAATAGTGAGCTATCCAGGACAGCATAAGCCCACAACAGATGCACAAAGGGTTTGGGAGATGGGAAGGGAATCTTGAAACTGGGAAGGGGAAAGTGGGTCTGACATGGGTTCCCTGCGTGACCCATCCACACTGCTGACCTTGGATTTTCGAGGCTGCCCTTTGGTCTTTTGGTGACCTCAGCAAAGTCACGGTGCATGGAATTTGCAGAGGCCCCGAACCTGAGGATTCTTCTGCAGAACACATTCAGCCAGAAGGCTGAAGGACTATGAACTTTTCTTGGTGAGGCCCCCAAATCTGTTTCTTTGGTCCTTTTTGTGGCATCCATGTGAAAGAGGTGCACGTATTTCCACCCTTCCTCGGGCAGGTGGCCCTGCTTCTCCTGTCTCGCTGTCTTTGTTTTGAAATTAGTACTGTGCACATTCTTAACGAGCTGCTGATTATTGCCCTGCAGGAGAGTATGGTCATGCCTGGCTAATATGTCCAGCTGCTAAAAAAGAAAGGCAGAGGTTTAATCTCTCTTTAATTAAAACTGCTGGGCTTTCCTATTTGGTAGTACAACTTTTCTGTATTTATTTTGTTCCATACAGCTTATATTTTAAAATCTGACTGATGAGATTTGCATTTCATAATCCAGTTTCTGCAAAACTCTTAAAACGTGGATGTTCGGCAAAGGAGGCAATACTTGACTTAGAAAGAAGCTAATATTCCCTCAGGTCTTTGTTCTTAAAAAAAATTGCGGGTGTTTGGGCATAAGATATTACTCATGGGGCTATTTGAATCAAATCCGCTGACAGAATATACATGTATACACATATGTGTATACATAAATATGTATTTATGTGTATGTTTGTATTGTTTCCTCCCCATTTTATTTGCTGGCATCTGCTACCAATTTAAAATGTCACAGATGCTGAAGTAAAGTGACTTTTGGCCAAAGCTCATGGATATGTCATTTGTGTCTTACTTTTTCCGTAGAACTTAGGGATTGCTTAGTTCTGCCCATTCCATCTGATCTAGTAATGAGAAAATCCACTTTGTGGGTCCAGGCCTTCGAGGTGCTGGCATTACAGTAATATGATACCTGATGAATGGGGGTTGAGCTACACCATTGATTTCCAGCCAGTTCCACACGGTGCCTGGTGGCTCTCGGAGAGGAGGCTGGAAATGTTTCTTTATTGTGTCTTTCTAGCTTACTAGCAAATGAAAGCATCCCTAGGTAGGATGAATAAAATAAGCCAAGACCAAAAAACAAAGAAAACAATTCTGAGACGGCATAAGAGGAATTAAAATTGAGTCTTTTTCATAATTATTGTCATAAAACCTTGGCACATAAATTTGGCAACAAAACATGACCTGCACTGGGAGGTGGCCACTTAAAGTCTTTGTTCTCCTTGGTATGAAGACTCGCACATCTCCCCACACGCCGATGAAAGGTGACTGTGCTGGTTCCTGTCGAGTTGCAGCAGAGGTCCTGGAAAACGGTCTGATGCTCCAGACTGTGTCTGTGATGCCAGGCAGCGTGTTCCTGGCAAAGGAGAGGGTTTATCTCTCAGAAAACAGAGGGCAGCGGGTTGAGAGGAAGCTGACTGGGAGTCTAGATACTCTGGGAGACCAGAGAAATTGCCCTGTAATCCTCCTCAGGAGAAAATAACAGGAGATTGAGAAGCACTGCCCAAGGCCTCAGATGGCGATCTGGCCATGCACAGGGTCTGATCAGTAAGAAAATTGCCCTTTAAACGTTCTGTTTTTATAACCTTAAATTGTAACCCACCGAAGGGAACACCATTTCAGAAGTATCTATAGATTTGGGGCTAAAGCCCAGGGATACAGTGGGATCCCTTGTTTCACAGACTGTTCCATCCATCAGCCTGTGGGAAGTTATCACAAGTACAGCGTAGCTTGATCCTGAGGGTAGGCGCGTGGTGGAGAGGTCTGGGATGACACTTATGGGAAAGAATATAATAATGTTAACAAGCCTCCTTTATCAGTCACTTACTGGATGTCAGACACCGTGCTAAGCACTTTATATGCCTTATCTCATTTTGAATCTCCATAAGACCTTACGAGGTGGGTGCTATTACTAGTCGCCTTTTACAGGTAGGGACTCTGAGGCTTAGCAAAGTTGGGTCTTCTGATCAAAGTTGGGTCATCTGCTAAATAGAAAACATCTGATAAATTAATTTGCCTTGTTCTTGTAGATAAGTGGAAGCAACAAGAGGAACTGCTATTGAGTATAATTTTGACTAACAATGGAAAATTGGTTCATGACATGAAAATTGTAGGGAA